TGAACAATTTTTCATGTACATGTAGAAAAAGGCAGCGGTCAATCTAGTAATAACAACAGTTTATTGACCTATGGATTAAAAGCACTTTTTTTTTCAATCACTGCATAAAGCAACGGAAGCCATTAGCTTCCCCACTTTGTCTGAAATGTGATCACAAGTAGGTGAAGGTCTCTTTCTCTGACTGGCAAAGAAACTACATGTAAGAGATGCTATTTAAGTCATTAATTATTTTTTATATTTGCATAGGAATGTTAAAATGAAATAAAAGATTATGTTATGAATTAAGAAAAAGGATACAAGGTTAACCAAATTCCTTTAAAACAAAATGGCAATTTAAGTTTCCTTTTGTTTGATTTTGTTAGATGTAATTGGTATTGGTTTAGGTTTTTTAAGAAACAAATGAGCATGTACTTTTGGTTTTCATGTGAATAAAGCAATTGAAGCAAATGTTTTTTTTTATAATTTAACACATTATCCAACAGTACAGCTTTCTGTTATATGATGTTTTGTGTTCATATTTCAACAGGGCTATTAATAAAACTGGATGGCAATGTACAGTATATGCATATGTATTTCCACCAAACTCCCTGGCCATGTGGGGAATATGGTTTGATTTTTTCACCACATTCCCCTTTCATATCTACAGGGTTTTACCACAGCTTCACAAAGATGCCCTTGTGACAGAATTATGTTGATGAAATGACTCTTTACTGAGTCACTCCAGCAGGTCCACTTGACCCTCATTGTCATCAATGTTGCTCCAGCAATGGAAAGCTCCCTTCATTGAGACTTACAAATGAAAGTCAATAGTGTGAGATAAGACTGAAAGTTGGATGGAATAACATTTCAGCACTAAGTTTTTCAATGCACAGCCTGCAGTCCTCGCCGTGTGTGGGTGCCTGTGGTTATGTTGAAGAATTAAACTGATTGGGAATATACCACGACCAATGATCACCAACACCAAAATAGAAGGAACCTCACTGTGGTTGAAACTTCTGTGATGTCAATAATGTCCACACAATTATGTAGAAATGACTTAGAAACCCCTCAAAAAATCATTTTATTCATGATGTCATCTATAATGTTTGATAATAATAAGAAATGGTGGCACAATTACAAGCATGTGCAAGTGGAACCACTAAAAATGTTTTTCTTCCCTGCATGTGAAGCATATTGGGTGCATAGTTCACAAGTTGACTTATTGTCACACAAATATAGGTATGTACAGGAACAATTTCGATATGGAAACATGAAAATACATTAAACAAATTACTAACAAAATACCAGTCAAGGTCATATTTACATTTCTGTGACAAATGGTGTTAGGGAAATAAAGATATTAAACCTTTAAAATAATTATTAAATGCACAAGACACAAAACACCGTACAGTTGGAGTTAATTTCAGTCAATACCACAACATCCGAAGTGGTGGCACATTGCATGTATGTACTGAGTTAACTGTTTTTCTAAATTAGGCAGCAAAATAACATTTTTAACACGTTGAAATGGTGACCAAATACATTTTGGAAAGGATGACTTCCACATTTTTGTTGAATTATAATGTTTTTTGGGACTTTTTGAATAAATCAGGTGCTTGTGGGAACACAGGAACACAGGATTTGTAACACAGGAACACATGATTTGTAACAGTTGTTTCAAACAGTATATGTGTAAACTTATTATGCATGTGCATCCTGCAGTACTTCCAACATTTGTACTTGTATCAGGCAATGCCTGGCCTCACTGCACAAATGTCAGTGCCATTTGGTTCCTACCCTGTTAAGAGTTTGTTGATCATTCAATCGTGAAGTCATATTATGTGGAATGAGGATGCAACAAGCTGTTACATTTCTGTCCTACTTATATGTAATGTTCATCTTGGAACATGGTGTTGCTCACTAAGTGTGGCACACATTATATAAAACAACAATGAAAGACAAATAATAGTACTACACATCCTAAAATGTTTGAGATCTCAAGATATCAAATTTTCCACAGAAAGAAAAAAGGTGAACATGTTACAAAGTGCTACACAATTTTTTCACCGCAGGTGAAAGATTTTATAAAGGTAAAGTCATTGTAAATATAGTAGTGCTAACTCATGAACTGTAAACAAAGGCCTGCCTAGTATCTCAGAAACCAAAGAAGCACAAACACTGGTTACAACAGCACAAATGTAATAAATTGGGTGAATTAGGGTCCATGTCTGGTTTGTACTGTTTGAAGGGAGGCAAATACACAGGTTCAGTGATGTCACTCCCCCCAAAAAACCAAATAATTCCTAATATAAGGGAATCATAAGCACAACCCGTAGTTTGAAAAGCACAAACCAGCACAAACATACCAAAAAAGCTAGAGGTTTGGTTCTCCTGAACCACTCAAGAGTGGCTGAGTAACATCACTACTAAAAAAAAGAATGTCTTATACGACATAAATTAAAGCAGTGCAGGGTAGCACTTGCACTGTAAATGGCACAAGCTGGCACAAATGTAGCACAAATGAACGAGACTGGTTTGATTCACCTGCTCTGCTGTAGCAGGACTGAGTGACGTTATTCTCCTAATAAAAGAATGCCCTGTATCTCAGAAATGAAAGCAACAAAAATTCTACTTTAAATGTCACTGGGCAATAACATAAACCTCATGCCAGCACCACAGGAATTTGCTTTTAAAAGGAGATTCTTCTCTACATCATTACATATCCACTTCCCATCAGCTGGCTTGAGCACTGTAACAGTCAGTAAATTGTAGCTCTAAAGGTATATACACTTAATATTTTACATTTATCAAAGATTTATAATAATCTTTACAAAGCCTTGACCAAGCAGATTGGGTCTTTGTGTAAATGCAAAGGAATATATTTGAGAGGCCCCTCCGAAAAGAGACATCATAATGCTGTATCCAATACTGAACCATCTAATGATATTTAGCACAGGTGGCCTCCATCAAGTTGTATTCTGTTTCTTTCCAAGGCCGTAGATCTAAAGGTACTATTCATCAACTAAAGGGGTGCACCCACCAATTAGGGTGGGTACCAGAACGATACCTGATAGTATCTCAACCAATCACATAGCATCCAACACATTTTTGTTGGTTAACTTTCAGGCTCCTCTTCTATTTCCTACTAAACTGGGAATATGCTTTATCCAACCCTGTGACTGCAAGAAAAACTTTCTCCAAAACACTAAGCCAAGAGACTCAACAAAGTAAAGAATTCTGCCCAACATAAAATAATTTTGTGTTTGAAAACCAACTGTTATTTTCATCTGATCAGTGAAATAACAGCTGGACTCTTTTTGTTGACATCCTGGATATCCAAGGATATTCAGTACCAAGCTATAGCTGGGATAAACAGAGTTCTCCTACATGTTTACCTTGCAGCAGGGCATAAGAAGACAACTGTGCACAGACTATTTTTGTTTTTAAAGACTGAAGTTCAACAGGACACTAACTTCTGGCAGGGCTGCCCCCAGCAATGTTAGACAAAGCCCTTTTCCTCTCTTTCTGCAGCCAGGACACTTCCTGCACAGAGTAAGCAGCTGCCAAGAATGACCATGGACCAACTGTGCCAAGTTCTGTCTTCTCAGTGGGAAGTTTAGACTCATTAAGGACATTTAGCCAATGGATTTTATTCACGTTACAATTCTTGATAAATGAACTGTTCCGAACACATGCTCACGTTTAGTTCTCAATAGTAAACGTATATTCATATATATCTGAGTGTATATATAATAAATAGTAAACGCATATTATATATATCATGTGAAACTAATAAAACCTACGGTGTAGACCATAACACGTTATAGTCTATGTATTTTAAATTAAATCTGAAGTTATTAACTCTTTTGTAATCCCTGCATGGATTATCAGTTTTTGTATTACAGCAGATCATTTCACAAATTTATTCTGTTTGTTATGCATGTTTTTGCTGTTATATCAATACATAATATATTGTATATTTAGAATCCATGTGTCAGTCTGTAAATTATTATGTTTGATTACTAAAAGTCATCAAGTACTCCTGCAATTTACTGTTGCAATTCCTGATTGTTACAGTAAATTAAAACCCTGACATCACCTCACTCTCACCAAGACATCTCCATACATATTGACTTCCATTAGGGCTAAATGGCATGAATTTATGAATCCACTCCCAACACTCCGATTGACCCACAAAAGACAAGGACTTTGTGAAAACAAAGAAATGTGTGAATATGGAATAAACTACTCAGTTATATTGTTGAAGGCGATACCTAAGCTTTTATAAGAAAATGGCAGGATGAGATTCTTGATCCCTATTACATTTTTATATACATTCATTCCTCAATTGGCAAAGTTAACCATCAATATGACTCTAACTGAGCAGATCATTTTTATGCAGGTGGTTTCATGCTGTAGCCACTGCAGTAAGAAAATAATAGATCAGCCTAAAAATGATAAGCAGATCAGACACGTTTGTGCTGGGCTTTCTTTCTCTGGAATAGATGTTGATATGTTGATTCAGAACAGATCATTCTCTGGGCAACTTCTTTTACAGATAGGCTGCTTTCAATCATGCCAATAATAATCAAGTGATCTTCATCACTTGAGCAGAACAGGTTTTTTTATCTTTAGTTATTACAATACTGCTGCTCAAACAATCAACAAAACAATTTTAAAATGTAAATTATGTTTATTTAGGTTTATGTCATGTTCAATGAGTTATTAAACTAAAATCTGTTAAATGTAGAAGGTGTGGCACATATGCTGAGTATGGAATAGGAGTAACTATTAACTGCATTTTGTAGGCCATGATGTTGGTATTAAAGCAGATAACTGCTATTGAAACCAGAGGATGCAAAAGTTTAAATAAAACATATTATGGAAAAACAAAACAATTTCACTAGTTCCAGGAAGGTGGGGGGTGGTGGGGAGTAGAGGTTCTGTATTTTTTATGAGAAATTTGTCATTACAAAAACAAAAAGTGTTTTGGTTTTTAATTTAAAAAAGTCCATACTTACAGGAACATCAACATATTTTGCAGCTGCCTTTACCTTAAAAACAAAAAGATAGATAAATGCTGACATTTTTTACTACATAATTATCACAAATTGAAAAGGAAATTAAATATATTTAAGATAATCATTTTAAGTCCGATACTTTGGTACTTACTGTAAAAGACAGAAATGAGGAAAACAGTGTTCCTTCATCGTATCTTGAGAGTTTGGATAGTACGCCATCTAAAACAGCAGCAAACTACAAAGGAAAATAATTTTGATTCAGTTTTGTTTGACAGAACGAGGGAAACACTGCATTAAATTGGTATTGTGCATGATTTGGTTGGTAGTTTCTAAATACTACCAAAGAGTTGTTGAAAAATATATTACTTATTTTAAAGAGAATATAGCAATAAAAATGTAGAGTTGTTTTATTTTGAGAAAATATCCTAATATCTGAATCTTGTCATTGAGTGCAATTTTCTCTCACGCTGATGTTGGCTATCCACAGGTACAGCTATGGGCTCTGGTTTCACATATCTTAGTTACAGCTCTATTAAATAACCTGACCTGCAATAAATGTTATAGTAAAGTGTGATTTACACTGGTGATGAAATCATTTATCTTTTCATAGATCTGAAATCCCCCCTGCTGAGTCCTGGGCTCATTAGAGAGAGGCTGAGCTGGGATGTCTGATAGGAAAACGTCTGTGGCACTTGGTTCAGCACTTTAACATTAAAACATGTCGAAACAAAAATAAATTAGGCTTGAAATAAATAAGACCAGGAATTAACATTTCTTATTTTAACCATTTAACACATTAAGATTGGAAATTCACTTGCTCGTACCTTAGAAACCAACAAGGAAATCATTTCCTTGAAAGCCTCTTCAATCAGGTCATCTATTTTGGAATGGTACTGCTGCTAACAAAAATAAAAGGCACAAGATGGGTGACATTTTAGATGTTTGTAATAGAGAACAGACTGGCAAAAGCTTCAAAATCTCCTCTTTCTATCAAACACTACTGACTCGTTATGAACACCACAGACCTAAAACCTTGAACACAATCTACCCACCCCAAGCGTTTTTTTTTTACATTCAGCACTGCAAATCTTCCCATGTACACAGTTGAGTTAAGCAGCTAATAGGTCTATTATAAGAGTGAATTGAGTTCCCACTCTCATTTAGGCAAAGGAATTTGAAGGATATTTTTTGTATTCCCTACAATTAGGACAGCCTTGTGTTTTTCTAAAGGACAGGTCCAGCTGGGAGGACGAAAGACTTGCTCAAGATTCAATTAATGCAGCATTTCATGTCTGATAACTCTTATTCACAAGTTATTTAAATTGTGCTGAAGAGAAAAAAAGTGCTTTTATTTATTTGTGTGAAAGAAGGCCTTTACTAATAGCAATGCAGGCAGAAGTTCATAAAATTTGATGATTTCCCTTCACAATATCTCTAAAGAACATCTAAATTAAAATTTTCAACCAACAAAGACAGATGCTTGGTAACAAATTAGAGGTGCTTAGAGGTCACTCTAGTAGCCCCTTATTCGCTTCACCCTTTTATTTAACCTCAAGAAATGGCTGTTTTTTAATAAATGACATTCAAAATAAAGCTTAAGGACTTTTTTTCTATAATTCAATTAACACTATAATGTTTGCTTTTAACGTATTACTAGGAAGAGTAGAATTTACAATCCATACTGAAAATGTGAAAACAAAAAAGAACAATTCTTTCTATCACACTGTTCATCTGGTAGCAAGCTAGCAATAGACTCTTTTAGATAATTTCGTTTTCAAAAGCCTAACCTGGAATTCATAGTTCGAGGCCACATCACACATTGAATATAAAACAAAAAGCCTATGGCCTATTAAAACAATTGTTATTTTATATATATATATTTCACGCACTTCAAGGAGAACATACAAATAAATGCAGACATCTCTGTTTTGTGGAGTATTTTGTTTGTGATATAATCCTTTCTTTTAAGAAATTTGTTCTATAATTAAAACATAAAGGCTATCTCTGTTGTAGTTTTATAATTCAGCAATTGAACCTTTAACACACAGTAAGAAATTAGCATTATCTAAATAAGCTTAGGGAATTTAATCCTGTTATTTGTAAATTTGCTTCTTAGCCTTTTAGCTCTTGAAAAGATGAGGCGAAGAACATTTGCTGAAAAGCTATTCAGCCCCCTCATATAGTAATTGAAAACACCACAAATTGTATTAAATGAAATATGACAATATATTCTATGGCTAAAGGAAATTTGCCTCCAACTTTCTAATACAAATAAAAAACAAATTTTATTATCAATGAATATGTAATTATTTGAAATTACTTTTCCAGATGATCCAAAAACCTAATGCATTTGGAAAATTTCAAAAATACTTTCAATAAAGCCACGTATTAAAAAAGAGGCCTTGAAGTATACACAGTTGCTTTGTTGTTGTTTGCTAGTAATATGCTGTTTATCAAATGACTTGAATTATGTAGTGATGCCCTCCCTAAAACAAACGACACTAATAAACATAGAGTGTTATAACCACCCCATTAACCTATCATGGGCAGGAGGGTTCAACACTGGCCAGGTGTATAATATTGAGAGCAAATATATCTTCAAAAACATATGTAAAGAATATACAGTATGTGGTAGTTTATAGTGCGCATCCTCAGCAACAAGGTTTTACTTGTTCACCTTCTAGGTATGGTTAGTAAGACTAAAGGACAGGGGGAGCCAGCTGCACGTACAGTATATGAGGTACCTAATTCCACAGTAGAATGTGGGGCAATGGAGCAAGGGCTGGGTGTATAAATATCTGTTCTCTTCATGAATTACTCAGTTGAAGCTATCATGCAAATTTAACTTTTATATTGTTCAAGTGTATTGGAAGACACAAGACACACCAAACATATGACACTTACCCATTGCTTAACAATCTGGATTCAAAGTATGATGTACAGGAGTTAAGAAAATAAGAATACAAGACAGAAGAAAAAGCAGAAATGAGAACAAAATCACAATGATTCTCTAATAAATAAAATAAGCGTGATACTGTATGATAAAAAAGCTGAACTCAAAACAACTTATAAAAATGCCCAAACCAGAGGTAAGTGATTACAACACCCCATGTAACTCAAACATTATTTGATGATTGACACAAAAGTCAAAAACAACAATTAAAACACCATTCCTATAAACATAAATGGATAAATAAGACTGTGAAGGACAGCTGATTTCCCTTTTCAACAAAACGTACAGAAAATAATGCACACATTTAAGATAACACAAGTGCAGCTGCATGTGTATGCATTTTCTCTTCTAGTATTATTAAGATTTTACATTTAAGGAATGTACAGTGCCTTGCGAAAGTATTCGGCCCCCTTGAACTTTTCAACCTTTTGCCACATTTCAGGCTTCAAACATAAAGATATAAATTTTTTATTTTATG